AGGCCCTTAGTGGAGCAGTCCTGTGTAGGTGTGTGTGGGTGGGGAGGGGAAATATTATAGTGCATTCAGCAGTCTTATGGCATGTGGGAAGAAACTGTTGTTGAGCCTGGCTGTTCTGCTCCATAGGCTGTGGAATCTCCTTCCAGAGGCCAGCAGTGAGAACAGTCCATGATGGGGGTGGGAGGGGTCTCTGGTGATGTTTTGAACCCTGGTCAGACAGCGTTTTTTTTAAACATTACCCACTAACAGTCCACTTTTTTTTTTTTTCTTTTTTTTGCAGATAAATGTTGGTTTGATGACCATTAGGGAAGGGTAGTGGTGTCAAACCACAGCGTGGGAAAACTCTTTGCCTTTCTACACATCCTGACATCACTGCCCTAGATCTGCTTAATCAGGCAGTGAAAAAAATGAGGGACTTCAGCAAAGACCTGGATGAAGGACCTTTCCTCCTTCTTTATCCAGATGGCTCTGAAGTTATTAATATCCCTAGGACACAAAGACCATTTACTCTAAAAACATACAAGGCAGAAACTGGTAGGCCATATCAGCGGATCACCGTTTTTATCTGCTCAAAAAAAGACTTTGAGGAAGGTAAACTGTGTTGTTATGACCTAGTTGTGTCCAGTGCAAAGATGCCTTGACTTGCTGTACTGCTATATGTTAGTCAGTGAGGAATCTGCTATTTATTGTTTGTTTGTATCTTTATTTATTTATCAAAAATCTGGGTCCTGTTTCAGAATGGAGTCTTGAGTTTCTCTGAGTTGATCTACCTTGAAAAGGAAAAATCTTAATTTTCTATTCTGGAACAGTGGAGTAATTTGTTCAATCAGTTTCAAAAAGGTTCAAAAATGGTATGACAAATTAAAAACAATAAATAGAAAGTGAAAATTGACATAGACGGAGCAAAATGTCAGTCATCACTTAAAGAATTATACTACACATTTTTTGCTTCACAGTTTTAACAAAACACTACACCTAGTGTTATGTAAAACGCCAAACAATCCTCTAGATTAGACTGGAAGCCTGTGTCTGTTGACTAGCTCCAGTAGAGTTTGGAATCATTTTTGAAGAGCTTATATATATTTTGATGAAGAGCTTGCTTTTGCAAAAGATGAGATGTTTTATGGCTTTTGTTTGTGTGTGGAATATTGACACACATGGCCTTCGTTTTACTAACTGATTTAGAAATAGTGAATAGATAAGCAACAATGGCCCATACAATCACCAAAGTAAATATTATTCTTTAATTAGCTAGTAACTTTTAAGAGGTTTTACTTCCCTTTCTGAAACAGAAAAAATGCAGACTTTCCCTCACTTTGGGATCAATAGTCAAGCTGTCTTTTGAAATAGGCCCTTGGATTTTATTAGTTGCTCCCTACTGTGTTTTCAGCATTTATGTTCATATTCTGTTAACCAGCCTGGAGTTATCTAAGCATTTTCTCTAGGTGTTAGCTTCCCTTTTTAACAATTATCATTGAGGTGAGCTTCATTTATTTTCATGTTTTGCAGTTGGAGAATTGCCAGACACATCTGACTCTGACTCTGAGATTGTGATAAAAACAACATCAAGAGAGTTTGATCTAGCTGATACACTGGTGAGTGCAATTTAAAACATATTTGGGTGATCATTTTTGTGATTAACCTGCCCTCAACCTGTGTGGGTTTTTGACATCAGCCTACCAGAACTAAACAAATACTTGTATTTGAATTAAATTATGTCTTTACTACAGCCATTTGAACCTCATCACTAAAGCAGTCCTGTACACAAAGAGCCTGACAAGGTGTAAGTAGGTGTGTGTGTGTGTGTGTGTGTGTGTGTCTGTGTCTGTGTCTGTGTCTGTGTGTACCATAGCTTTTACTGCATTTGCATACATATTTATTTGCTATCGACATAGCTTTGTAATTTGTGGTTATTGTAACATTTACTATACGTAAATGCATTGCTACTCCAATATCTAAATGTTTGTTTGGTTTTGCAATGTCACCAATATATTTTGGAGTACACTATGATTTATGCTTTTATGCCCTCTCAGGAATGGTGCTGGGGGGCTGTCACTCTCTACTGAAGTACAACAGGTAATGGAGTATTATAATAGTTACATAGAGTCCTCATTGTCCCATGACTTTAGGTATGAAACAAAACAATAGCTTAATGTTTCCATAGACACCATTAATGTAAATAGTACATGGTCTAATAAGATAAGAATAACTTAATTGATCCTCAGAGGGAAATTCACTTGTCTGGCAGCTCATCTACCATTCAGTGAAGAATTATAAAGTCTGATTGCTTTGGGTACATAAGATCTTCTATATCTCTCCATCCTGCAGTGAAGAGAGAGGAGCCGTTGTCCACCATCTGTTTTTAATGTTATGATTATATTAATACCATTAGACCAAAGTCTATTGAAGTAAACTCATAATCATAGTATTGTGTTTATTGCAGTTGTGTGCTTTTAAGCTTTGCTTTTCATTCAGGGGGAATATAAAGCCACTTCAGATGGACTGTTAACTACAACCTTTTTGTGAATGTGCCTGACTTAAGAAATGACTCTTCAAGCATATAAGTACATATGAGAAAAGTTTCCTCAATACTTTAGCATGTTGCATTTTTTTCTTTCTTGTCCATTACTTAAATCATGTCATATATTTGCTTCATGCAGTTTTTTGAATTGGCAGTTGTATCACATTTCACTTAAATTTACAACAATAAAAGTAAACAGGGAAATGTGAATGTGAAAGTGTATCCACTGAACGTCATCTCCTCGCATTTAGAAGCTATTCTTAATTATGTCACCTCCTTAAAGGGATAGTTGAATATTTTGGCAAATTTGCTTATTGCATTAATCCCTATAGTCATATAAGCAGGTACATTCCCTTTAATTATCAGTGCCTGTTGTTTTGAGAGCCGTGAGGCAGAGATGCATGCTGCTTTGTGAACACAACTTGTCCATAAGAGCATTTTGGAATTGTAGGATTGTGTATTTGATTAGTTTTGAGGGACGGAGCAACCTGTACCGTCCACCTCCATTGTGTTCACTGAGCAGCGCGTCTCTGCCTCACGGCTCTCAAAACATCAGGCACTGGGAATATACCTACTCATATGACTATAGGGATTATTGCAATAGGCAAATTTGCCAAAATGTTTAACTATTCCTTTTAAGTAATCCATAGAGTTAGTTACATAATTATGTTGTCATTTGATTGAATATTTAACTTATTTCTACATTTCTTAATTTTCAGACTATACACTTGGATGAGGATCATACTTATCCAGGTACCTCCGGATGTCTTGACGTGAAGAGCTCCTGTTACAGGTGTGTTTTGTCTTATGTGTAATTATATATAGAGTGGTGGACAAAATATCAGAAACGCAACATTATTGAGGGGTAAACACATTTCTCTCCTGACAAAGATTAGATGTTGTTGAATTTAAGCTGGAACAGTGGGTCAACCATTTGATTGGGCAAATTTGTGCTAATCTACTGCGTGTTTATGCATTTATGTGTGTTTATATTTATATTGTGTGCACATAATGTCTTCATTTTGCAGAAACTACACCAACCTCTTTGCACCTATCGTCATTGGTGATAATGAGGATGAAGTTCTCATTCCTGAGGAAACAAATGACATGCCCTCAGAAGAATCTGAGTGAGTCATATAGACATAAGTAGAAAATTAACCAGCTCTCTATTCTGTCCAAAATTAAATTATACAAAAGTGAGAAGTCACTAAAATGAACACCAATCTGACTTTTTCTGTCTGTAACTGCTTGTATCAGGTCCAGTTGTTGAGATGTGTGTTTGAAGAGAGTCCATTGGAATTAAGCTAATAAAAATAAAAAGTTGCTCATTGTTTTAGAGACTTACTCATCAGTGTCTCTCGTGTCAATGAAGTGTCAGGATATAGTTTATGAATATGGAATGAAAGATTTTTGTTTTGTAAAGTAGCTACTATGCTTTGAGTATATTTTTAAAGTCTAAAGTAAGTTTTTCACTTTTCTTTAGACCCACAAGTGTGCAGGCACCTGAAATAATTGCAAATTTGGCACTTGCAATTGACCACAAGAAAGTCAGCAGGTTCAATATATCGAGATCTGACGTATGGGATGGAGCTGTCAGAGGATTTCGACGCAGCTCATACTCCGAAAACAGCGACATCTTCATTAAGTTTACCGACGATGCAGGGTCCTTTGAAGAAGGGTTGGACACGGGTGGGCCGAGGCGAGAATTCCTCACACTTCTAATGAATCACCTGAGAAATCACCTCATCTTCGATGGACCTCCAGAAAGACGATATCTTGTGTACAATTCCACAGGTGGGTTTTTTGACGTCATTTTAAAATTTGAAGTTTTAAATCATTTAAAAAAAAAAAATTATCTTCCACTGATGTAGATGGTAATTATCCATAATAATTCTGTACTCTCTGTAACAGCTGTCAGGGAAGATGAGTACTTTTTTGCAGGCAAGATGATTGCTGTGTCTATCATACACGGGGGACCAGCACCACATTTCCTCTCAAAGGACCTTGTCAACCACATAATAGGGAAGCCAAGTTTCAGCGCCACTGTGGAAGATGTAACAGATGAGGAGATAGGGAAAGCTCCACGTCAGGTAGAAAATTATCTTGACTTAAGGAATGAATTTACTAAGAGGACACCTGAAAATTATTTCAGTAATTGAGAGTAAGACTACACTCAAGAGATGATAAGTTTTATTTATTTAAAGGGACAGATTTCCACTTATTTCAACGAGAAGTAAAAGTCATTTTATCCTTTTTTTTTATCCTAGATTTGTATTAATGAAGGAGAAGTGTAGTCAAGCATGGATATTTTTGGGTTGATCTTACAATAAATGTCTTTTAAATAGGTCCAGGAAACAGAATCGGAGGAGTCTTTGCAAAATCTAATTTTGCAAAACAGCACAATGTTCCAAACAGCTGGATGCTTCCGACGTGTCAAAGCTTGTGAGAAGCATACACTCAGATGAGTACATTAGAATACCTCAGATGGTACATTATAGACCACAACCACATTGCCATTCAACGGTAATATTATTTTTAAAGTTTTAAAATGATATTATTTAAAACTTTTTTGCCAACAATCATCAAAAAATGTAATAGTTTAGTTTTTTACTAATCCAACATTCAGTCAGTATTGCCAATTGCATATCACTGCAGCCACTGACAAATTGTGAGACAGTGCCATCAGGTATTTCTGAAATAGCAGGATTGAGGAGCATCCTTACTGGATCAGACTGTAAAAGTGCAATCTTCAGTTGCTATCTCCTCTTTTTGTCCCCTTCAGGGAAATGCTGGACAAAATTTTTTAATGTATTGAACAATACTAGCCGAATTTTAGGTTCCATCACTTTTATGATCCACAAAGTAAATATAAGTATGTAAATCATGAAGTACAGTCTGACACTGAGTAAACTTTGTTTAAAAACAAATATTTAACTTTTACAAATGCATGTCCACTGGATTCAATTGAAAGTTCTGTCTTATGTACCTTTTGACATGGCAAACCATATCTGAGCTCCACTGGTTTATTTCTCTTCATTATACACAATTACCCAGAGTAACCAGCTGGTACTACTTACACTAATCAGCTGTTTGAAACCAAAAACTCATTTTCTCATAAGGGTTCAGTAATTAGCAGCTCAGGTTATGCTCCATTTGACCCTCAAATACCATCCTGCTTGTCTGTCTATTTTTCCTTGGTGTACTTAGTGCTCAAAGAAATTATTGTGCTTTGTTTAGCACACTTGTGTTTCTTGCAGTGTGAAAACAAGATTTTTAGGGGAGAAGTCCAAATCATGATGATCTCTCCTTTTTTGACATCACTATTAATTTCTGTGCACTATGAAATGTTTTCTGTATGCTCCTATATAAACAACCTACCTATGGCATGAGATTATACAATCAGAATTTATGTCAAAATATATTAAATTAAAAATCTGGTCTGTAAGTATATTTGCATATATTGTTGCTATATGTTTGGTAGTATTTTTTTCTGTCAGACCTGATGAACCACACCTATGTCTTACACAGTAACTGTCCTTGATAGATTCAAAGATGGACTGGCAAGTCTGCAGTTTTTGACTGCACTGCAGCAGCATTCTGGTGTGCTGGCTCCTGTCCTATACCATTCTTCCAAGGCCCTGACTGCTGCAGAAATGGAAAGCATGTTCAGTCCAGACCTCAGCCCAAGAGGAAGCAACAGGCGGCAGAAGGAGGTCAAAATAATTGGATTTTGGGCTGATTTTCTTCTTGATTGTGAAGGTTTGTCAAGGCTGTTTTGTTAGATATATATAAATTGTGGGATCCAGAATGCTCCGGGATTTGGATGTTTTTAGATGTCAAAGGGACATGCATAAAAGTGATTCTGTTCACCTGTGTGAGGGCTTGTATACATTTGAATCTGTGCAGTTAGCTACTTACAGATCTTACCCATAAATGCAATAAGAGCTGTGGCCTGATTTAGGCTCTCTTTTATATATTTTTTTGTCTTATTTCTTTTTTTTTCTCAACAACTTTCTGGTCAGAATAATGCCCAAGTACAAGGTCACGTTTGCTTGTTTGCATCAGTTACTGCCTCTTGTTAAAAGGCAGTTTGGGACTTGTTATGCATTAAAGTGATTGTTCACCCATGTGAGGGCTTCTATACATTGTTTCAGTCTGTGCAGTTAGCTACTTGCAGATCTTACCCATAAATATTTCAGAGCTGTGTCCTGATTTTCGTTGATTTTGCTGTTTCCTGTTTTTTACAGCTGAATATGTATTTTAAAAAACAACGTAAAATCAGAACAAATGCTTTTTGCAATTGATGTTTACATAAACATTGAATCAGAAAATGAATAAAATTTAAGTTTAATATGTCTCCACTTCAGTCCCAGAGTTCAAGATGCCAAACCTGAAAATTCAAAAGAACCACATTTGAGACTTTTGGGATCATATCCTGTAATTTATCCCTTGAAGCAATTTGTAAATGTCAGATCACATTTGTGAATGGGAAGTGTTTTCCAAAACTCAGGCATGTATAGTCCACCAATCATTTATTGATAAGCATTAAGATGCATTAAAGCTTAACACTAAATCGGGAAAATATTGTCTTAAGTCCATGTTAATGTGGGATACATAAGAAAGGTAAAAACGGGTTCCAATAGTCCATGTCTATAGCCCAGCTATTTCCTTCAGAGTGATGTACAGTTCTGAGGCTGTCTTCCAGTCTTGTGGCTGTTGTAGTCCGTTTCGTTCCACAGCCTGTTGTAGGTATTCCTCAATGTCTGCATCACCACATAAATCAAGCACTTGCCTTGCCTCAGAAAACACATCCAGTTCCCCGTTTTCAACAGCGAATCCACAGTCCCTTGAACCAAATCTGCAAAATTAGATGATACAATGATATTAAGGACAAGGTTTGAAATGGTCATTGTTAGATTTGTTTGCTTGTTGATATACAGAAATTTATAAACAATGGTAGAGACAGATAGCTTCTAAATTCAAGAATGGATTATACCAACATGTACAATTGTCCAAATATATCCCAGTTTAGGCTATACCATAACACCTTGCATTTTTTGTAATGTAT